CAGTCAGCTGAAGTGGCTGCAGTACAGCACTCTAACCACTGCGCCACCTCGGAAAAATGCTTTCTCAGAAATCGTTATGTGGGTAACACGTGTTTGGCAAATTAACAATTAAAAAAAAAAGGCTGGTGCCTGCTTTGACAGAAGAAACAAACACTTGATCATTCCCCTGGCTCAGCTGATAAGGGAGGAGAGCTTGTGGCTTAGAGGTTAATACAACTGCCTAATAGGTAAAAACAGCCCAAGTTTGAATCCCAGCAAGGATATGGCTGGCAGATGAGAGCAGATGGTATATAGCCCTGGGATGGCAAACCTATGCCATGTGTGCCAGAGGTGGCATGCCGCATGCAGAGCCCTCTCTGCTGGCACACGCTGCCCCAGGTCAGATCTCCGTGGCGGTTTCTTTTGTGAGCTTCTGTTTCCCTGCAAACGACAAAACAGAAGCTCACGAAAGAAAAAGGTTCACCATCACTGATATAGCCAATAGGTTACATACAGAGGTGGAATTCAGCCGGTTCGGACTGGTTCATCTGAACCAATAGTGGAAATCACGGGTGAGCCCCCACACCCACCCCAGCTGTATGCCGTCCTATTTAGGCCTTTTCAAGCCCTACGTGTGAGCAAAGGGCATGCACGGACGGCTGTGCAGTGGTGGGATTCTGCTGGTTCTTACCGGTTCGGGCGAACCGGTTGCAGCGGCTGCTGGAGGCTCCGCCTACCCACCCTGATGTAATGGGCTCACATTTGTGATTCCCACCACTGCTGTCGTGCACATGCGTCGATGCGCACATGCTCACATTTGAGGTAGGCAATGTTTGTGAACACCGTCCCCGGTTATAATAACCGTTCCTCCGGGTAAGTGGTAGCTAGTGTCACGAGATGTGGAGACTGCGTGCAAAAAATGTTTGGTTTGCTCTGTGACAAAATGTTCTGCTTTCTTATTCGGGAAATTGTTCTCAAAAGAGCTTGCAACAAAGAATAATTCAGATGCTTTTTCCCCCCCTACCTGCAGGATCTAACATGGGGGGAACATACCCATGAAGAGAAGATTCAACAGATTCCTCACAAAGAAAACCCTCCTCTTTATTTACTTCTTGTGAATTAATTGCATTCACCCACCGGAAGTCCAGGCAAGACTCCTGCGAGGAGTTAACCTGATCAGTTCCTTTCGATAATTCAAGCTCCCAGCCAAAAGGCTGCAAATTAGGGTAAATTCTGGCAAGCAGTCTTTGACGCACGAAACACAAAGAGCGAAATCTCCAGAAATACGAACTGTTGTCTCCTACGACCACCACTGCCCTTTCCTTCTATTTATTCCCTAGCCAGGAAGGGGCCACTCAGTATCCACCTGTGCCTTGCTTCCTGAGTCGACTCCTTGTCCTCCATTGTTCTCCTCTCCTAAGTGCTCTGCGCACACGCACATCTGGAACAAGCCCCAGCTGTTCTTCCTCCTCACTCAGCCTCCGAAGACAGCTGCCTCTCTGGTAGCTGGGAAATGTCGAACAAATGCCCTGGCTCTCTATCTCTGCGCCCGACACTGAGGATCCCTCAGAGCCTTCCCGGAGTGGTCCAAGTTCTTTCCCAACCTCCTCATCGTCCGAGTCTGCCCCCAGCTTCGCTCGCCTCGACACCTTCCCTCAGAAACCACCTAACCATAATATTATCCTCCAGGAAGAAAAGTCTACATTCTGACATTGGTGGTTTGCTGGCAGCTTATTAATAGTTTCTGGGGGTTTGAAAATAACCCTGGCTTAGGCTGCAAATATCTTGAGTCCTCGCAGCTTATAAACATCCCGCCTCTTATGATGGGATTGGGTTTTTAAAATACGTTTTATTGCTTTCTAAAATAATGACAAAAGAAAGATTCATAACCCAAACGTACATAATAATAAAAAAAAGCACAACAAGGGCTTAAAATGTACAATTGGGGAAGGGGGGGAAACACGAGGTATTATACATTATAAAGTCATAATTCTGGATATAATATCTAATGCAAACATTTTGCAAGTGTACGCAATAGCAATAGCAGTTAGACTTATATACCGCTTCATAGGGCTTTCAGCCCTCTCTAAGCGGTTTACAGAGTCAGCATATTGCCCCCAACAATCCGGGTCCTCATTTTACCCACCTCGGAAGGATGGAAGGCTGAGTCAACCTTGAGCCGGTGAGATTAGAACTGGCGAACTGCAGATAGCAGTCAGCTGAAGTGGCCTGCAGTGCTGCATTTAACCACTGCGCCACCTCGGCTCTTACCACACACACATAAGTAATCCTTGAAGTACAACCGTAATTGAGTCCAGAATTAGTCATAAGTCGTGCCGATCAATAAACGGGACACCTCATGACTGCACCTCATTGTAAGACCTTTTTAAAGGCGGTCGTTAAGTGAAGTTAGCAGTTGTTAAATGAATCCATTGTTGGCAGCAAGGTTTTGTGTTTTTTGTGTGTGCCAGAAACCAGAAGTGATTGCAGAAAAAATTCTGCAAAAAGAGTTTTTCAAACAGCCACTAAGCGATCAGTCGTAAGTGGAGGACTACCTTTATGTCCAGGTAGTCCTCGGCTTAACAAGATTCATTTAGTGACCGAAGTTATAATGACACTGAAAAAAAAAAGCGACTTATGGCTATTTCTAACATGACCCTTGCGATATCCTGGTGGTCACATGGTCAAAATTCGGAGACTTAGGCAGTCTGGTTCATATTTACGACGGCCGCAGTATCCTGAGGGGCACGTGATCCCCTATTGTGACCTTCGTACAAGTCAATGGGGAAGAATTAAATATTTGGCCTCAAGAAAGACGGAAGCAGATCAGCTGAGGATTAGTAATTATATTTGGTCAGCTTCAACCCAGAGCGTATAAGGAAAAAGCATCATTTGGTCCCAATGGACAAAAGACTTTTGTTCCTAAATAAAGACTATTAGTCCAAATTCACAATTACAAAATCAAAGTCCTTCCTTCCTTCCTATTTTCTTTCTCTTCTTTCCTTCCCTCCTTCCTTCCCTCTTTCTTTCTTATTTATTTTATTTATTTACTTACTTATTTTCTTTGTTCCTTCCTTCCCTCCACCTTCCTTCCTTCCTTCCCTCCCTTCCTCTCTCCTTACCTCTTTCTTTCTTATTTTCTTTCTTCTTCCCTTCTCTCCTTCCCTGCTTCCTTTCCTCCCTCTTTCTTTCTTTTTTCCTTCCTTCCCTCCTTCCCCTTCCTCCCTTTTCCCTCCCTCCCTCTCTTTCTTTCTTTCTTCCTCCCTTTCTTTCTTATTTCCTTCCTTCCCTCCCTCCCTCTTTCTTTCTTTCTTATTTTCTTTCTTTTTTCCTTCTTTCCCTCCTTCCCCTTCCTCCCTTTTTCCTTCCCCCCCTCTCTTTCTTTCTTCCTCCCTTTCTTTCTTATTTCCTTCCTTCCCTCCCTCCCTTCCTTTTTCCCTCCCTCCCTCTTTCTTTCTTATTTTCTTTCTTATTTCTTTCCTTCCCTTCCTCTGTTCCTTTCTTTCTTTCTTTCTTTCTTTCTTTCTTTCTTTCTTTC